TATTATCACTGGTTTAATCAGCCACAGTGGGAATTCGGCCAAGGGATCTGTCGTTATCCGTGGGCGGGAGGGGTATGATTGCTGTTTTCGTTCTCCCAGCGCGGGATTAAAAACAGGACGGCTCTCTGGTTTGACTGGCTTCTGTCTGACAGGTGGCCACGTTCTCACCTGCACTGCCGGGCTGGGTGGAAGCTCGTGGCTGTCTTTCCATTTTGTATTGTGAAAGCTAAAGAAGCAAACCACGGCGATGATCTTTTCAACAGACTCATATTCTTGACCCAGTGTAAAAGACTAGTTTCGCTGCTGGGCTCCTGTCTTGATTAATGACCGTATATTAATGAACATAGTCATTAATGTTTAATGTCAATAATATTATACAGGAGGCACGGAGGCGTAGCAATGAGCAGTGCAGCCTCACAGCTCCTGGGTCCCGATATCCGTAGAAGAGCACCTTCTGTGTGGAGTCTGCATGCAGCATGTTTGCACAGGCGTCTTTCCACCTTCCAAAGACATCCCGTCTTGTATAACTGGAGTCTTTGAGTCGCTCCTGTGTACTGGTGTGGGGTGGTGGTGTCGATGACGATGATAAAAAAAGACCACAACAACTCGTTTCACCCTTGCAGCAAAGGGTGAGCACCTCCCCGAACTTCTCGAAGCTTTCAGTCTGAAACAGACGGGTTTATTCTTACAGAAGGATGCATAACTACTGAGTGACCGACAGCCAAGTCTGAAATTCCAGGGAAGAGCTAGAAATGCCTTGCAGTGCCAGTTATTTATTATTTTTGAGGGGAGGGCCTTGTTTTAACAAGAACGTAACACGCCTGCATCACCTCCCCAAAGGCAGTCTGTTCTCTAGTACCAGCCTTTACAACAGGCACAACAGGCACAACTGTGAGCTTCTCCTAATGCAGAAAGACATCAGCCCCTGCTATAAAAACCTCACAAAAAAAAGTTTTCAAACCCCCCGGGGGTCTCTGTGACTGGAAAAAAGGGAGGGGTTCTTTTTGGTCAAACTGTCCCCATCAGAGACTCGAAAGACAACGAGAGCCCGATCCGGATCAGTCTGGGCCAGAACCGGGCTCGCAAATGGTGGGAAGTTGTTTTCCACTCTTGGAAAAGGAAATGGCAGAGCAGGAGGAATTATAGAATCGGGATGGACCCTTGAGATTCTTTATTTTCTGGACTTTTAGCAGATCGTAAGCAGTCGTACAGCGAGCACTGAAATGAACGTGTACTCAGATGCCCCAGCTCTCTGGGATGGGATACCCCAACAGTAATACTGGGGTTCAAAAGCTGGAGCACAGCTGCAGGGCTCTCCTCAGCTGAATGTGTCTGGTTCTTTTTTCCCGGGATAGATAAAGCCCGTCAGGACTCCAAAAAATGCAGTCCTCTACCGGGAAAAGCTGAAATGGTGAAAAACAGCAGGTTTCTCCATTCCTGCGAGCCAGCTTTTAATAACTTCCAGACTGACACGGATCTACGCTGCTCCCCTCTGTGTCTAGACTGAGTGAGCTTCAGGTTTTTTTTTTACTGCTTCGCGGAATGAACTCAGCATTAGCTGGTGCTGGGGAAACAGTATCGTGTGGCTCTGAAGCACATCCTCCCAGCCGTGCTGTAAGGTTTATGACTGCTTTTCATTATTTCATACAAGGGAGCGATGCTTTGTCCATTCCAGTTTTTGGTAGGCCTGCCTTCCAGTTCTCTTCTGGGTGGAAGCAGTTAGCTTTTCTGCAAACGAGCCTGACAAATCTCTTTCACTCCAGTAACAACTTTCAAATCAAGAAATTACAACACTAAGTAAGATGAGCGAGGAACTAATGGCGTCTCTGTTCCTTAAGGGCCTGGCAAGATGAAAAGTGGAATTGTTTCTTCATACAAATTGAACAAGCTTCATTCATCAGTGACTAAATCGAATTACGCTCAGTTTTACAGGATCTGGGATGTAAGGGATCTTGCCACTGTAAAGAAGCAGTAGACTTCATTCATTACCTTCACTGCTTTTCCAGGGAAACAGGCCAGACTCCTATTGCACGGCAGTCTGATCCATTTCAGGTTTTAATCTGCTACAAACTCTTATATATGCCAGTTCATCACTGGTTTGCAGTTCCTATTATTTTTCTTAGCAAACGTCCACAGACACAACGAGGTGCTTCCTTCTGCGTCAGTACAATTTGCCCAAAATGCTCCACAAAATCTGGCATGGAGCTTTACTGTGTTTGTTCTCTTTCTGTTGAAGCATTATAGCAACTGCATTGCTAGTGTGGTATTCCTAAATTTAACCCTCCCCCTGTGCCTTTTAGCTCTTGTTTTGTCAGCAAAGCCGATTTCTTTGATGTTAGCAAAGGTTTACACTGATCCCATTCCGAAGGTCAGCCTCTTACACAAGTATAGAAAAACACTGGAATCCTCCTCCTCCTGGTTAATGATCAGCCACACAGTGTTTACGCTCCTGTGGGCAAACATGCTGCAGGAGTCCCTGAGAGATGCATTTTTGGGGTCACTCCAGCAAACACACCAGGGGGCTTTAACTGTGAGGTTCCCTCCGGATTGCTGTATACTCCATCATTTCCATTCTGGTGTAGCACAGACTGTTTGTCTGAAGATCTCTGCTTATGTCCTGGCAGATATACCCCAAACTGCTCTGGTGTGGGTAATTATTATTATTATTATAAGGATTAGTGATCAGCATCACCTTTAAAGGTCTCCTGGGGGACTGATGGGGCGACAACATGTAGCAACTGAAATTTTACATCAACAGCAGCTCGTTTGTTTTGTAATGAGCCGACTCTGAGTGTTTTTCACTGGGAAATAAAACTGGTTAAATGGTAACTACAAAGGGGCATCCCAAGACTACAAATAAACACACAGCAAATGAAGAAAGCCCTTATTTACCAGCTACCAAACACATTCGGATACACAAGCTCCTTTGGGAGGGGGGTGTGGGGGGGTAAAAGTACAAAAGCTTCCTAATTTCAAAAAGATGAAAAAATTGGGCTATGAAAGAGGTTAGTCTGAGCAGGACTGAGGCAGACACTGTGTGAGAGAGAAGGAGAGGCGCAGAGAGAGAGAGCGCTTTAGACAGCGGAGTCAGTGAGACAGAACATCTCTATTAAACTGGAATCTTATTGGTAGTAGCCTCACGGACAGAAAAAGAACTGTTTTTTTTTTTTACCATACAGTGTTATTCATTTACTGTCACTGCAGAATATACAGACCTGTAATTATATTTTTTCAGGATTCTTCTGCCCTGTAATGACTGCTATGATCCTGGATTGAAGCCACCTGACATCATATTTCACACTTTTTTTCAAAGTATATAATTCACCCAGAAGTGAATTAACTACCGCTAGCACTGCGAGACAATACACAAGAGCAAGAGTCCCTGAAGGCCTGCAGAGCGCAGGCGACTGCAGACTCGCACACACACCATCAAAACTTTTTTTCTCCTGTATCGAAGCTGGGATGAGCAAACAACAGAGGCCAAAGCACTGCTGGTTTCATGTTCACTTTTTTAATGATGAATTGCAAAAGACCTCCCCAACACACACAGGGGATAAAATTCCCGTTTAAAAAAAAAGGGCAACCAAGCAAAAAACAACCCCAGCCTGCACTGCACCGGTATGGGAGAGGAAACTGGATCCCCCAGCAAAATCCCCTGCAAACGTGACAACATGCAAACTCCACGCAGACAGACACACAAAGCAAGAATCAAGCCCGGTGCCCTGAAGCTGTGAGGCAGTAATGCAAAATGTTATGCCACTGTGCCACTGACATGTTTTCCCGTAACACTAACAAAGAAGCCAACAGGATTCGTTTTCAAGATTTGGCAAGAATCTCGCTTTAAAGAAAGGTTGTAGCAGATTTTTATTTCCTGAGACGTTCATGACACTTAACAACGCTGGGTAAACAAGACTACAGGGAAAGTACTAATGTTGTTCACTGAAACGGGCAAAACAGCCCTGAATCAGTCTATGTGTTAATGGAGGGGGGAATCACAGGACTGGGGTATTCTGCTCCTGAACAAACCTCAAATTCGTTCAACCCTGGAGGCACAAGCGCAACACTGAAGAGGAGATGGGTTCAGGGCATTCACAACCTGCTTCGGAGATGAACACTGCAGACACGGTGTGAGACAGGGTCTGCAGGCAGAGGAGGCGAAGGGAAGCTCGTCCAAGCAAGACATCTGACTGGGCGTTGAAAGGCGAGCGTTCGCCAGGCAGCCTGGCCTCTGCTCAAGGCCACCCGGCAACGTCAATCCAGCACAGATTAGGTCACGCCAGACAAAGCCAACGGGAACAAGCACCTATGGGACGCCAACAGCCGGGTCGTCCCCCAGAGTTTACATAGGTGCCCCAGAATGTTACAGCAACATCTCCCTTCTCCTGCGCCCCCACCCTGCACCCTGCTCAGCCACCTCGGCTGGGGCGCGGAAACGCCCGGAGCCTGGCGCCGCTCGAGCGGAGAGGACACTCGTCGAGCTCGGTCTTGAGCTGGAAAGGCCAGGGTTCTAGACAGGGAGCTACGGGCGCCCTCCCCTTTCACCATTCAATGGCTCACTTAACACGTTTATGTTTTTATTGTATAAAAATAAAACAGACGCAGTTCAGCGGAGATAAGGCCATTCGTGGGCGCAATACTAGACGTACATCAGTGGCAACGGGTGACCGAACACAGCCGCATTCTCGTGCACCTAGTTATTGCATAAGATAGTGACGAGGGACACGTGAAGATAATAAAGCGAATTCAAGGCCTCAACCCAGCCTGACTTGTCTATACTTTCCAGCTTATAATGCTGCCTGTGCAATGTTGCCCTTCCAGGCCTGTACTGTCTATACTTTCCTGTGTATGATATAATGTAAATATAAGATGTTTAAGGGCATCCAGATGGAAACTGCCTCAGGAGGGCTGGAGGCGTTCAGCAGAGGAAGGGGTTCAGTTTCTGCACCACAGATTTGCCTGGTAGTACCCGCCAGGCCCGAGAGAGGAAGCTCGGCACTCACAGACGTCGGGGGACTCGTCGGAGCCGTCCGGACAGTCCTTCTCCCCGTCGCACCGCCAGCCCTTGGAGATGCAGGTGATCTTGTCCTTGCACACGAACTGCTTGGGGCTGCAGGTCTTCGGCGCTGGGCGAGAGGAGGAGAAAGAGGAGAGGAGAGTGAGCCCCAGGGAGAGCAGAGGCGGCAGGCCGACCCTCAAGCCGTGCTCGCAGATCCCCCCCCACCCCCACCTCCACACCCTGTGAACAGGGCCTGGCTAAGCCACCCCAGGGTGCCCAGCAGGCAGAGAGGACCCAGGAGCTGGCATGTTCTGCTGCACAGAGGGCAAGCCAGGTCATCAGATCTCCACAGTCAGCCAGACCGCAATCAGAAAAACACAGGAACCTCTTCCGTAACATTTCTGGTCACCTTGCAAATCCATCCTTATTTTGTTTTCAGGCTTGGAAGCCATTTTCTTTTCACTGAAACATCACCAGCGCCAGCGTCTCTTCCAGGCCTGGGCGGAGGGGGGGTGTGGGTGGGGAAGACGTCGAGCCTTTATTTGCAAGTCCCCCCCCCCCAATTCCACCGCCAGGGACATCATCAAGGTACCTCGACACAGCCCGTCAGCAGCGCGCCATCGCGGATCGCCACGCCACACAGGGGCACTGGGCAGCGGTCGGGGATCGCAGAGAAACCTCAGCCGTAATTAAACCAGTCCCTGCTACAGCATTAATCCTCCCACACTCACATACTGCAATTTCATGCAAAGATCCCTCTGTAAAAAGAGTGCTTCAGTGTTGCGGGACCTTTTCAAGGGCCTCTCTGTCTTTAGATGTGGGTTAAAGTGCACATGAAATAAACGGGCAAAATAAAGAGCCCTGCAGTCTTCCCCTCGTCCAGCCCTGCTACTGCAACCCAGCTTGTGTCTCCCTGTCGAGGTCCATCTTGCTTCAACGTCATCCACAATTTAGCACCTTCTGACCTTGAGATTTTTGCCTCTCATTATAATTACGGTCTCCGCTAAAATGATGAATGATAAGGGTTTTTATGGCATCTTGGTGCTACTAGGAAGTTATACCCCCACAGAAGATCAGTGCAGTCACACAGTCTGTGCTGCTGGTCACACCCCTGACACACAGCACAGAAGAGACTAGCTTCATTCCTTGTGGACCTGAAGCTAAGAGCCAGTGTGTCCCCTGGACAGAGCTCTCCTGCATCTGCTCCCTATCAATCCAGGCCGCTCCTCGGCAGTTGGTTAAAAATATAGACTGCGCTCCTAGGTCCCAGATCCACACATTCACAGGAGAACTGTGCAAGGCATGCAGCAACACATCAAGCTACATCAAGCGTGTTTGATTTGTACTGATCTAAATCATGTGCTGCAAAGATGCAATTTTTTGTGGGTTTTGTGTTAATTTCCAACCTACCTTCCAATCTGACTCAGTGTCACCATGTGAGAGTGAACATAACTCTATTATTAGAGAGGCTGCCTGCATTTAACAGGGGGAAATTAATTTTCATTCTACTAGACATGTGCTAGCAGTGGTGTAACACGTACTGCTGATGTGTCTTTTCACAGAAGTGTATCTGCTCTTTGGGAAAATGATACAAACACCACTCCAGCCTTGGGCATTTTTTAGAAGCTGCTGGATGGTTAGACTGTTATCGGGCCCACCAGAACTGCAGCCAGGATGTCTTGCTGTGTGGTGTCCCGGCAGAAAATACACAACCAACCACATCGTGCAGCACAGATGTAAAACCCATGAGCTAAGGAAATTTTGTGCAGACCCAAACAATTTTGCAAAGGCTGAGACTTAGTAAAGGCAGTAATGAGTAATAACAAAAAGGTTTCAAATGACAGGAACAAACTTTTAACTAGACATGACAGGAACGAACATTTAACTATACATGCACATCACCCCCCTCCTCCCTACCCCCATGGGAAACTTGACAAAGTCATCTGCACCCCACAATGTTTATTCTTTCTGCACCCCTGCTGCTGTACACGAATCAGATCTCCAGAACAGGCTTGGTCTAGCCTCCAGAAACCACGTCTCATCAGAAGGCAGAATGAATGATGAAGGCTGAAGCAGGCAGGAAACCACCTCCCAGAATCAACACTGTTTCGAGTCAACGCAGAAAAACACAAAACCAGAGGACACAAGCAGAAATTACAAGGATGTGCATTTAACTGATAAGTGGAGGGTCGTCTTTACACAAAGGGTTGTGGGAGAATGGAACAAGCTACCCAGCCATGTTCTTAGAGCCCATACCTCGGATTCTTTCAAGAAACGGCTGGATGAGATCCTCGGATCACTTAGCTGATAACTACCAAACAGGTTAGATGTCCTCCTCTCATTGGTAACTGCTCTTTATGTTTCGACAATGATAGTGACTGGCCAATATGAGCCTCTGCTGTACAGTGCCTTTCCACCCTTACGGAACACACAGCTAACACTGAGACTCTCCAAGCCTGGCGTCACCTTTTGCATTTTCACACATACATTTTTACACGTCTACCACTGACAAGTCACATGCCATAGTTTGAAGTTTTGATTTGACAAAAGCTCAAAGAACTGGTCTCTTTAAGAGCTGGAAGAAGGGCAGTTCAAAAGAATGGAGTAGCGACAGAGAAGGCAACGTCAGTAAAAGGCTGATTTAGTCCCAGGTACACTGAAAAAGCCTTAAATGTAACAAGATCTTATATTGAATACGTGACTTTATAGCCAACCGGTGAAGAAATTCAAGTGTAGGAGTGATATGCTTCCAGGGTCTAGTGTTTCAAACATATTGCAACTTGCTGAGAAGAGAGTTAAGAGGCCCATAGATTGGAGAATGGCAGTATCAAGCCCTGATGTTATAAAATCAGGCACTCAGCATCAGACACTGATAGAAAAATTGCCTAATGTGGGCAATATTACTGAGGTGAAAAAAAGCTTTCTTAACCAGATTTTTCATGTGAGGTTCAAAAAAGAGGAGGGGATCAAGTTGCGACTCCCGGATTCCTGACTTCGGACAACGCACACATGCCTTCACATCCCAAAGCTGCCCTGCCTGCTGCTGTGATTTCAAGCCCAAGGCCTCCATCGCACACATGCATACACCACAAATCCTACTGCTCTGCGCTGCAATGTCATTTCAATGAAACGTCTGACTTTTATTCAGCTTTGAAACAGGAGCAGCATTTTAAATAAAGGGCTGCATTCGGGCTAGTATTTAAGAGAAACACAGAAGCTTCTATTAAGCCTGAGACCTACTCTACTGCAATGCCTCTGCTTATTTATGATCACACAGACGTGTGTGTGTCTCTGCACGCAGTCAAGACTTTTATATTAGCATAACTCAGCTCAAACGCCTACTGGTGAAGCAACAGAATGTATTTCACGAGGGACAGACTAAACCCGCTAATGAACACATCAGTAACTTAAAAGTCCTGTGTGCACTTGATCAGTTTTTACTAGAACAACACCTGTATTACATTTATTGAAAAATGGGTAAGAAGTAGACAGAAGTGGAGTTCAGCAATGCCAACACAAGGGAATCCAAAAGCAGAGGGCAGAAGGAGGCAGGATTAAGAATCCAAAGAGAACACAAAGCAGGGAATGCAAAACTAAAGGCCAAGGTAGTAGCTAGGAACAAAACTCTCTCCCAGAGCCCAGAGCACTGTCAGAGCACACCTTAAGTAGCCAGACCCACCTGAGATGGGGAGTGAACATCAATTGCCCACAGGTGGAACAGGCTTCCTGTCTGACTGTGTAACCAAGGCAACCAGTGCTGGCTGATAGGTGAGTAGAAGTGTGGCAGCTGTTGCAGTAATGATAGACAGGTGACAGGTGAGGTCTGTATCAGAGCCACAGCAAGACTCTTCCTCCTATGTTGGACAACAACCCGGAACAGAATGCTCCCCCAGCAATGCTGGTCCCCGCTAACACAACTGGGCAAGGTACAACAGAAGCAGGGACCTGATCCCACGACCTGACACTGATGAGTCCAGAAACTAACCTCCTACACTCTTCTGTCTGCAGTATAACAGATCAGAAATAATGCAAAGTGTCAACTGGGAAAGAAAAAGAGAAAAAGAAATCAGAGAAGGAGATCAGTAAACAAATATTTAGAATGAATCACTTGTATGTACTTGCAGCTCCAAAACATCCCAGAAAGGACAGCAGCTTGTGCCCTGACAGCTCTGTGCCAGTGTACCAGGGGGCTGTTGCTCTCAGTCAGGCCCTACACATAGGCCACCGGCTCCGCACATGGCAGGAGTTTTTTTCCTGAGTGCATGGGGGGGGGGGCAGCAGGAGGTGTCTGACATCCCGAGAGAGCATCAGAGCGGCATATCATTACGCAGAAGCCAAGGAGGAGCAGAGACATCAGAAGCCCATCATGAACAGAGGCCTCCGGGCCGAGAAGTGACAAGAACCAAAATAACAACAAAAAACAACAACTTGGGTCATTTCATCTCATGTTTGTGCTATATACATCACACGTGTGTGTGTGTGTGTGTGAAATCCGACTCTCGGAAACACGGCCGAATCAGTCAGGAGCCGAGCAAGCATCAGCCATCCGAGAGAGTGTCTGCAGCAGGCCAGGATCCTCACGGCCACATCCACAGTTTCAGTTTGCCCACAGGCCAATCGTGTCCTTATGCTTTAAGGCTGTTCTTCCTGGTCATGGTTTCTTGGGGAGTGAAGCACTGTCTGCAGTTCCTGTCTGTCCTTTATCTTAAGACCTGGGGGGCTTAGCGGCACTTGACTGCAACAGATCACAAGAGAAGGGGCCAGGAGTGGGGAGGGGCTGCTATTCTCAGTAGAAAGAGACGGGGGGTGAGGGGGGGGGTATTGAGGTACCACAATCTAGTTGCATCAGGACATGAGCATCCACATCTATCACCAAGGCAGAGAAGGGAGGGCTGGAAAAAACTGAAAAGCTGAGAATATTTCACACCCCGCGCACCAAATTACTTTTCTGATACGCAAGAGAGGTCACAGATCTGATTTCCTACTTGGTGATTAATTTTGAAATAAGAGAAAGCACCAAGCGCTCTGAAAATAACTACTTTGCCATTTAACAAAGCTGCATTCAGACGTGAAATTTGCATGGCATGAATTTTTCACAAAGGTAGTCAGATGGGGTTTTTTTTTTTT